AAATTATATATAGAAGCCTTAAAATCGAGGAAAATTTATCTTAATAATTATTTACGAATATAGTAGAATATTCAAATCTAATAATAGACTTCTATTATTATTACCTCGAGATTATTAACCTTTATTTATTATTTAAAAGACCTTCGAAATAGTTTCCTCTATTAGCGCTACTAATTTATAATAGCTATATTAATTTATAAAAAGATCTCAAACTTGTTATAAAATACTAAATTAATATATCTAAAAATATTACTTTATATATATCTAGATATACTTTTTATAAGATCGATATCTACTATATAGTAATCGTTACCGAAGCTTCGAATTAAAGAGAGAGATAATATTATAATTTTAATGACTTTATAATCTTATTTATATTATAATCTAATTAGACTTAGCGTACTAAGGCCTTTCGGCTTTTCTATTTTACTATAAAGTTTATACTTATAATAATCTTATATAGATAGTATTCTCTTCATACTACAATATAGAGTTATCACACATATCATTAAGTCTCTAACATCTTATAAATATCTAAAAATAAAGAATTTAGATATCGTCTATTTAATTTTACTTTATAGTCGATAGCTCTAATTAAAAAATAGATATATATCATTTAAATTTAGAATAACTTTTTTATTTTCTATGAAATTATATATATATTTTTTATATTATAGAATATAATATTAGCTTTTAAATAGAAAAAGAATTATAAAGTTTAATCTTATAAATATATTAAAATAAAGAATCTAAATATCGCTTATTAAAAACTTATATATTTTAATAAGAATATTCTTTAATATAAAGTTACATAGTCGAGTAATAATAATTTTAATAAAATTCGAAACTATTTCGCTTCGTTCTCGATTCGAATTCATAAATCTCTCCCGCTAAAAAATTATAAAATCGTAAAAATCGTAAAATCGTAGAAATTATAAAAATAAAATAAAAATAATTAATATAAAAAATTATAATAGATATTAATATTAACTTTTTATAATTAAATTTGAATTAACTTAAAGTTAATTAACTCTTTAGAAAACTTATTATTAATATAACTTCTATTTTTTCTATTAAATTTTTACTATTATTTTAAGTAATTATAGAACTTATTTAACGCTTTCTAATAATTTAAAATTTATAAAGTTCGATTTTATAATTCTAAGTAAATCTTAAATTAAAATATTTTTACTCTTCGAGAGTCGAATTTAATCTCGAAATCGAATTTAAAAATTAATTACTTTTTATAAATTAAATTTATAAACTTAAACTTATATACTAATATATTAATTAGTAGATTTTCTTTAATTAAAGAATTAATTAATTTATCTATACTTTAACTTTTATAATATACTTTTATATTAAAAAGAAATAGATAAGATATTTCTCTTATTTACTATTAAAGTCTCTTATTAATTAAAAGAATTAGTATATATAAAAGAATAAGATAGAGCTAAGCTTGAAAATCTTAAATTTATATATATAATTAATTATAAATTTAGAGTTACTACGCTCTTTAATTAGATCGACTAAATTATTATAAATAAATAAATTAATATTCGTAATTATTAAAAACTCTTACTCTACTTTTAATTATTTAATAACTTTACTATTTTCTATTAATTAAGATTTTTTTTTAAATTATAGATCGTAATTTACGCTTTCTAGAAATAAAAAAATTATAAAATTTGATCTTATAGTTCTTTAAGGGTAAGGAATTTAAATATCGCTTATTAAAGATCGCTTACTAAATTTACTCAACAGCCCTAATTAAAAAAAATGATTATGAATTTAATTTATAGGCCTTTACTCGTATAACTATATTAATTTAATAATTCTTCGATATAGTATACTAGCGATAATTGAAATTTAAAAGTACTTTATTTCTTTAACTTAAAAATACGTAATAATTAATATTTAATCTCTATAATAATTATTTAACGATTATAAATTAATTTTTTAATATAATATATAATACGCTAGCTTAATTAAATTAGATTTTAGTTAATATAGAGTTTAATTAGATATTCTTATATTCTTATACTTTCTTATAAAGTATTTAATATTTATTTATTACTCTTATTTATATATTATTATATAATTAATAAAAACTCTATTATTAAATATAGCTAGACGTATATTATCTCTATTAAATACGCTTATTTATAATACTTTTATATTATTTATTAATTAATAAAAGAAGAATAATAAGAAGAAGAAAGATATCTTCTTAATTAACTATAAAAATATTATAAAAATTAATATTAATTAGAAAGAAGAAGAAGAAGAATTAAAAGAGTTATAAAATCTATGAAGATTATATTTTAAATAAAAACTAAATTTAAATAAGAGATTCTTATAAAATAATAGTAAAGATTAAACGATAGCTATTTTAAACGATATTTACTATTATTATAAAATATAGTTTACTAGAATATATAGTTTTTTTTAAATTCGATAAGTTCGACGCGATATTAAAATACTTACTTCTTATTAAAATATAATTTATTCTATATTAAGATATTAAGATTTATATTATTAAGAATATAAATTATAATATATATTCTATAATATAAGTTAAAAATTCTAAATAATATAAATTAATTTATTATTAACTAAGTAATTATTATTAAAGAATTTAAAGTTATTTTTTAATTATAATTTATACTTTAATTAATATTAAAAGATTAAAATCGATATAAAATCGATATAAAATCGATATAAAATAAATTTAAAATATATATTATTTCGAGTTAACTACTTTTAAAAAATATAAAAAGAGATAAAAGTTTAATTTAAAAAAGTTTACTATATCTCTTATATTAAATCTATTAATAGAATTAATATTTATTTTATTATAATAATTATAATAAGATAGAAGAGAAAATATAAAAGAAGATATAAAAGAAAATAGAAGAGAAGAGAAGAGAATAATAGTAAAAGAAGAAATAATAATTAAAGAGATAGAATTAAAGAGAAAAAGATAATATAAAGTTTTTTTTAATAGATAAATCGATAAAGCTTTAAAAAAATTAATATTACTAGTAATAGATGATTAATATTCTTTATTACTATATCGAATTACTATAAAATTTAAATTAGAAGTAGATATTTTAATATTACGTCGAATTTATTAAATTTAAAAAACTATATATTTTAATAAATTATATTTTCTAATAATAGTATATAGTTATTTTAACGAATTAAAATTATTCGATATTTATCTAGAAACTTAATTAATTAATTAGAATATAGTAAATCTAATAGTAGATATTTATTAATACGTTAATTAAATTATATATAACGAGTAAAGGCCTATAAATTAAATTTATAATTTTTTTTTTAATTAAGACTATCGACTAAATAGATAAGCGATCTTTAAAAGCGAACTTTAATAAGTAATATTTGAATTTCTTACGCTTTAATAATTATAAGACTAAATATAAAAATTCTTTTTTTATTTAAAGGCTCATATTTCGCTCTATAATTTAAAAAAAAAATCTTAGAATTTTTATAGAAAATAGTAAAGTTATTAAAGAATTAAAAATAGAGTAAGAGATTTTAATAATTGCGAACGCTAATTTATTTATTCATAGTAACTTAATCGATCTAGTTAAAAGACATAATAATTCTAAATTTATAATTAGCTATACATATAAATTCAAGGTTTTCAAGCTTAGCCCTATCTTATTCTTTTATATATACTAATAATAAGGGAGGTCTAACCTAACGTCACGTGTCGTATGATAAATCCGCATCCCTACTCCAGCTAGCTTGGTATTCAAGGGCTTGTTGCTTGTCTGGCTGATATCCCTGAGCAATGTCGGTCAATTGTGGAGTATGTGACACCCACATGGCTAGGTATAAATGCCCGTCGTGTCAACTACAATAGTACGTACATGGGATCATTTTTGTGCGATCACACAGGCTGAAACCTCAAAGCTGCTCTATTGAGTGCTACAAGAGACACCAGATCATTCACGCTGGTTTACTATCCCTCGTCGCAACTCAGTTGGTTCCGAATGGCTTGCCACCAAAGCCCCCAGCAGCAGTAGCATTCACCGGCGCGCCAAATTCTCATGTTCATGGCGGTGGGCCTTCATTTGAAACATGTTCACCATCTTCTCTTGAGTCATCTGCCAATCTTCAAATACTATACACTCGGTATCCTCAACTACAAGATCAGCTCAAAGAGATATACGAAGCCGCAACCGAACCTCGGGATGATCAGTTGAACGACCAATCATTCAGCAATGATCGTGGTGATCGAGGAGCTGGACGAGGAAGAAACAGGAGACGGGGTCGTGACGGTAGAACAGCGGAAACGTGGTCTCGACAGAAAGGGATCAAGTCTGGCATCAACCGGTTAAGAATACTGAGGCATCTCAAAGGTGAAGATGGAGATGGATTGAGAGAATTCTCCAAGCTTGTTACAAGCCATTTCGAAGCCAAACGCTCGACAACTAGATTGCCTGCAGCTTGGCAGAAATGCTCGTAGAAAGCAGTTGACCATGTCAATGCTCAAAAGATCTGTACCCCAACAATAGCCAATTTTCCAGGCAGCGTGCCTGGGGTAGAGGCTGGACATACGTCCATAAGAACTTAGCGGGTGGGAAGGCATCGGTGGATATAGCGGTGAGGCTGATCCCTGTGCACGCTTGTACTACCAGTCTCAAAAATCCGCAGTTGGCAAGGCAAGGAAGGCATCAGCCTCATCAATCAAGCTTCGATGATGACTTCATCTGTTCTGCATGATTAAACCGACTCACGACATTCGATAAACCCTTGTCCACGAAATTGAACAAGGCATCTCACGCCGCGGACGCCTCGCTAAATTTCTGTAAAAGCAGACACTTCATGTACACATGATAATTCGCGCTCTTGCCAGTGCTAATCCCATTCGTCATTGTCCCATGACCTGACTCACATCCTGCTCGTCGCGGTCAGGATCAAGTGCTGCTCACAGCAAATAGCTTGACAAATCATAGTTCGTGCCACTTTCACCGTTGGAACCAATTGAATTTTTTCTTGGTGCTTTCTCCGAGACCTTGCCCCTCTAGTTGTATGCTGCGCTCATAAAGTTCCTTGAAGCTTCCAGGTCAGCCTCAGATTCCAAAGGATGCAGGCATCTGCAAGTTGTTCAATGAAATAACAAGTCTTGCAAAGTTGGGCAACTCAACGCTCAGGACATAAGCATTGGCTTAGCAGAAGAGGAGCAGAAAATATCAGACTTACATCTTCATCCTCGCAAAACCGTCCATCGAGGACTAACCGCTGCACCTCTTCATTCTTGTTGATCGTTGGATATGAGACCTCTTGACTTTTCTGAATGCCTATGATCACCTCCCCCATGATCTCAAACTTTTTCCAATTGATGCGCTCGCCTTCTGCACCGACGACGTATGTTCGGTTGCCTTGCTCAGCAAGAACAAGATCTCGTAGATGAAGCGGGAGAAATGGGATGCGCTGAGTTGGAGTATTGGTCCAAGCTAAGCGATATGCAGAGTGACTCTTTTGGGATCCCATGAGTATTTCGAGGCGCATAAACTGTTTCTGCGCCGGTGCTGGGATAAGCTCTCTGGTCTGCGCTAACCGATGCACCGCTATGCTATTTATCCCAGAGATCACTGCTCCAAGAGAATTGTAATTATTCAGGTAACGCAATTTCCATGCTATACTCATAAACTTCTCCAGGGCTCTTGCTCTGTGCTTCGGCTTGTCGCGAAGAAGTATGACATTGGCGACCCAGAAGGCGACGTGATTGAATTGGTGTATCATTCTATTGAAGTGCTCGAGGCTCTTGCACTTCTCCTTTTGGTCAATCGCAAGACTCACGTGTCTTATAAGATCGCGTGGTCTGATAGAACAATACATGACCCAGTCAATACGTGTGAGTTCTCGGGCAATTTTCTCTTCCGGAATTTCCATGAATTGATGCCACTGGACCTTTGTGAGCGAATTCCGAGGTATTGGAGTCAGGAGCTGTGCTTGGCGCTGGGCATTTTCCAGTGTGTTGAGGAGTGTCTGGAACGAGCCATTAGATTGGCTTTCTGATCTACTATTGCTAGGCACGAATGATGGTGGCCCTGAGATCCTAGCAGGCTGAGCTTTCTCTGGTCCTATGTGTTCGACGACGTCTTCCGTAGACGAGTCTGCTGTAAGCGTGGGAGAGTCTGCGTTGAGCGTCGAGGCCGCGCTTTGAACAGAAGACATGGTCAGAAAGCTTTCCGTCGTGTTTGCACGACTTCTACTTTTGTCAGAGCATGCCCATTGGGTGTCATCATCATCTGCAACCACATCCAAATGTGGGCTTATCTCTTTGTTAGGGATGGCGTACTCTGGAAACGCCGCCAAACCCTGCACAAAAATTGTAACCAGCCGACGGGTCAGAGGGTGAGCAAAGTCACCGGGGTAATCCGAGGCCCAATCCCTAAGAATGTTGAGATACCTCAGCTGCGAAGTCTTTCGGTTTAGATGGGGAAGGTCCCGGTCATTCAAACCCTCGAAGCGATGGACAATGGCCTTGATCAATGAAGAAGGCGGAGCGAACTTCCGATATAAACACAAGAAGATGGCTGCAAATTTCGAATCTGATTTCGACATAGGCTGTGCCAAAAGCCTATCCACTAAATCTTCGAAAGTGACCCCTAGCTCCTTGGCGTCGTCATCTTCCGTCTCTGCATATTTGCTGTTCTGAGCGCTGAGGAGATCTTTAGCTGCTACGCTGCTTCCTTGGACGCCGCGGCTACCTTGGAGGGGATCCGAAATAATGTTTGATGTATCCGAAGCCTGACCCTTGATTGGTACATCGAAATGATTTGGAGGAAGATCTCCTGGATCTAGATCTTCCATGCCCCTAATAGGCGACACAAGTTCATCACCGCTGTCTGAGGACTTTCGTGAGTCGCGTGACCGGTCGCTACGAGGAAATACTTCTGAGTCTCTGCCAGTACTTGTTGCTCTTCTCGAGGATCCGGCCTGAGAGTCGATGGTCGTGGTGGTCCTGGGTGATGGTGACAATAGTGCGACTGGGTCCATATTTCGCGCCACAGAATTCGACACTTCGGAAGCAGCTCGGCCATGCTTGCTCTTTGCGCGAGCCGGATGTAACGAGTGGCGTGTATCGCTAATAATTGTAGTATGTGTGGTTGTTAAAGCCCGAGATCGTGTAGGGCACTTTAATGTGTGGGATTCTTTTGACCTAATTAGTCATGCCATACGGTATCATCACATGTCACGGTGATTCGAAGCGGACCTATAAAGATGGTCTAAGCAAGTGAAGGAAGAAACTCACCGCGCCTTTTCAACATGATATTACGCAAAATGATAGAGATGCATCTTTTGTGTGTCTCAGGTGCAGATAAGGAGACCGGAAAAGACTCGATCCCCGTGCCAGGACTGCAAAGCTCCTGTACCATGTCATGATCCACCTCCCAGGATCCGCGTGGACTATCGGACTTGGCAGATACGAGTACCGTGGGAATACCGTCTTTGGACAACGCTTCTAGAGACGGCGTGTAATGTAAGCTACTGCTTATTTCTGACCCATCATCCCTGGAGCACCTGGAGCTGATTCCCATCTCTTCACTGTGTCACTTGGAAGGAAGGACTGCCGACGCCCGAAAGACTCACTTAGTAATGCTGGGATGTGAAATATACTACCCTGGTCCATGACATTGTACAGAGCCAACACTCCATCAATGATCGGCGTGTTATGGTCTCCCACTTTCGTAGGCCAGAGTACATTCTGATTCGCCGTGATTTCCACATCTCCGAAGCCCAACTCAAGCAGTCTAACAACTGATATTTTACCCTCCAGAGATACCTTTTTGCTGGAAACGGGTGATGTGGACGCCTTTTTGAGATCTAATGAAGAACGCACAAAAGTCGACTTTCCGACGGCTGGAGCACCCAGTACCGCAAGGGTAACTTCATGAACACCCCCAGCCTTCGCACAAGGGTCAGCAAACTCGCTCATCTTTTATCAAGTTTAGGACATCTTTACGCGGCCATTGCTGCCGTGGCGCTGTACATGCCCTGCAGATTCGTTCGAGATTGGAGCTGAAAGCGGCCCCCAAAGCCTTGAGCCAGGTTCCGAAGTCTGACTTTCCCTCCTGGTCTTGCCTGCGGACGTCTGTTGGGAAGTCCTTTGCCGCTGTTGCTCTTCACTTTGAGGTACTCCCAAGGGTGCAGATTTTACGCGCTCTCTGTACAATGGACGCGCCAGTGAGCTTGGACTTGGTGGGTTCTGAGATGTTAGCAAGCTTCTAGGAGCTCCTCCGTAGGACCTAGTCTTTTTTGACGATTTTCGCCCCTCCATTACAAGGATCGGGTCAGCGTGGTTTGGAGCATCCTATCGAGCCCGGCATAGAAGTACGTGGACCCTGCGGAAGACCTCAAGCTTCAAATTGGTGATTTCGGGAGCTACAAACTGAAAGCCTGAACAACAACGCATGAGGATCTTCGCAATCATAGAGTCTTGCGGACATGGTAGCAAGATCAGTGTTACTTGGGTGGTTTGCGGACTGCGGTCAAGGATGACCGTCTCAGTCAATGTAACCCTAATTAATTACTATCTAAACTGCTTTCGGAGCTCCGGGAGTGGAGTACTGTGGTGGAAAGCTCTAATTCTTCGAGAACTCTCTAAAAGCTCTTCGAGAGATACTATCGAATAAGCTATCGAAGTAAATTCGAAATATTATAAATAAAGATTTCGAGCTTACTTCGATAATTTATTCGATAGTAATAATTAGAGAGCTCTTAGAGAGTTCTTAAATAATTAAAGTAATTTAAAGTATTTAAGTAAATCTAGACGAAGATTCTCTAAATCTAACTCTCTTCGAAGGCTCTTCGAGAACTTCTATCGAAGAGACTCTTCTTAGAAACTTAATAATTCTATATATCTAGAATTATCTATGTTAATAAATTAAGAGAGTTATATATTATAGTTTTTTACGTTTTTTACGTAAATAACTATTTAGCTTATATTCTTACTTTTAAATATTATTTTAATATCTCTATTAAATTATATTATCTAATTAAGTTAAAAGATTTATTAAGACGAGAAAAATCTATCGAGATTTAATAATATATATATTCTTAATACTCTCTATAGTTAAATCTAATTAATTAAATATTTTATCTATTACTTTAAATAGATTATAAATTTAAATTATAGAGTATTTATTTAATATATTATTTATAAGCTAGTTAATTTATAAGCTAGTTAATTTATAAGCTAGTTAATTTATTAACTAAGTATTTAAAGAATAAAGAGAAGTTTATTATAATATTATATCGTCTAGTAATATTATTATAATCTTAGATATTTATTTTATTTATTTTATTTATTTTATTAATTTTATTTATTTTATTTATTTTATTTATTTTATTTATTTTATTTATTTTATTTATTTTATTTATTTTATTTATTTTATTTATTTTCTTTATTTTCTTTATTTTATTTATTTTATTTATTTTATTTATTTTCTTTATTTTATTTATTTTATTTATTTTCTTTATTTTCTTTATTTTATTTATTTTCTTTATTTTCTTTATTTTCTTTATTTTATTTATTTTATTTATTTTATTTATTTTATTTATTTTCTTTATTTTATTTATTTTAAAAAAACTCGATAATACTTTTTAAGCTTTATAAATATTTAAATTATAAGTTATATTTATTATATAATAATTATATCTTTTCTAAAAATCTTATTATTATTAAGTATTTAATATATTTAATAAAAGTCTTAAATACTCGCGAATTCTCTTTTTTTTCTTTTTTTTAATTATTAATTTATCTAGTAATTAATCTATCTATTTTTATAATTATATATTTAAATCTTATAATTATATAATTTACTATATAATTTTATTAATAGAGATTTTACTATCTTATAATTTTAATAACTTTATTTATATAAAATTATTTAATTTAGCTATAATAAGTAACTCGCGAGTTAATTTTATTAATTTATAGAGTAGAAATATCTTATTATAATTTATTAATAACGTTTTTAATTTAGTAAATAACTTTTATTAGAATATATCTATTATATAATTAAGCGATTATAATATTAATTCTAATATCGATAGAAATTCTAATAATATTATTAGTAGAAATAATAATTATTAAAGCGTTATATTTAATAAATCTTTATCTATAAATAAAGATTCTTACTTTATAAACTTAATTTAAATTTAATATTATTAATTTTTAAAGTTTAATATTAAAAAGTAATTAGTTATTAAAAAATTTAAGTTAATTAAAATATAGAATATATAAGAATATTATTATAAATATAGTAATAATAATTATTATTATTTAAGTTACAAGAAGATAAATATTATTAAAATATCTAATATTTAGTATTTTAATAACTATAGCTTAACGATTATATTTCTTTAAAATTATAATAATTTTATCGTCTTAATATTTTATATTAACTTTTATATAGATAAAAAAAAACTCGCTAATTTTCTATTTTTTTAATAAATATTAAAAAGTAGATTTAGAGAAATATTAGAGATATAATATTATATAATATTAAGAAATTTATTTAGACGAAATATTAAGAATAATACTTAGATTAAGTTTATAATTTAGTTATTAAATTTTATAATATAAAATATTAATTAATTAAAGTAATTATAAGAAATATATAATTAGTAATTAGCTTTAATAATTATCTTACTATATTCTAATCGTAATAAAATCGCTATATAATTAATTTAAAATATATAAAAGTTTTATAAAATAGAGTAATAGAGAAAACTTTTCTAATAGTAATAAAGAAGATTATTTAATTTATTATCTATATTAGTATATATAATAGAATAAGATAGAGCTAAGCTTAAAAATCTTAAATTTATATATATAGCTAATTATAAATTCGAGTTCGCTACGCTCTTTAATTAGATCGACTAAATTATTATAAATAAATAAATTAGCGTTCGTAATTATCAAAATCTCCCTATTCCGCGTCTCTCTTATTAAAAAAATAGGTATATATTATTAACATATAGAATAAATTTTTTATTTTCTATTAAATTTTGAAGAAATTTTTTTAAATTGTAGAACGAAATGTGGGCTTTCAGATAAAAAAAGAATTTCTAAATTTAATTTTATAATTATTAAAGCGTAAGGAATTTAAATATCGCTTACTAAAGTTCGCTCGATAGTCGAATAGCCTTAATTAAAAAATAATAGATATATATTATTAATATATAGAATAACTTTTTTATTTTCTATTAAATTTTTAAGATTTTTTTTTAATTATAGAACGAAATATGGGCTTTTAAATTAAAAATGAATTTCTAAATTTAGTCTTATAATTATTAAAGCGTAAGGAATTTAAATATCTCTTATCAAAGTTCGCTTATTAAAGATCGCTTATTAAATTTACTCGACAGCTCTAATTAAAAAAAATGATTATAAATTTAATTTATAGATCTTTACTCGTTATATTAGTATAATAGTAAAGTATTAAAATATAGAGTAAAGATTATAAAAAATAAAAGAGCTCTTTATCTTAAATAAGACTCGCTTTAATAATAAGATAAGTAATTAAAAAAGTAGTAATTAATAGTATATAAAGTTTAAGAGATAATATATAAAAAGCTAATAAGATTAAAAGAAGAGTTTATTTTTATTAATATTATAAGATTTAAAATTTAAGTAAATTAAATTCGAAAATAATAATTCTTATATTAAATTTAAGACGCTTTTTATTAAAATATAGTATTATAATTATAAATAGCTAAGATATTATAAGAATTCTTTTAAATATTTAAATTATATTAATATATATAATAGAATAAGATAGAGCTAAGCTTGAAAATCTTAAATTTATATATATAGTTAATTATAAATTCGAGTTTATTACGCTCTTTAATTAGATTAACTAAGTTAATCTAATAATCTTTTCGCGTCTTTCTTATTAAAAATTTATATATAGAAATTTTATACTTTAAAATACTTAGCTTATAATATATATAGTTACTTTATAATTTCTTAAATTATAAAGCTCGCTTTATACTTTCTAACGCTATAAAAATTATAAAGTTTAATCTACTATTAATAAATTAAATAAATATTTAAATATAATAATTATATTAGATACATTTAAGATTAAATAATAATTCTTTTATCTATTTATATAACTATTCTTCTTTTATTATTCTATTAATTTATTAATATAAATATATTTATTTTCGATACCTCTCGCGAAAATATTACTAAATACTTTAAATATATATATCTCTTTTACTCGCCTTTTAGAGCCTCTATTAACGCCTTTAAATTATCTTTTAGCGAATTTATTATTATTAATAATCGACATCGTAAGCGAGCTTAATAGCTATTTACTACTATTTATAAATATATTAAAAGATTAAAAAAAGCTTAAACGAATTTATAGCTATTATTTTTTCTTATATACTTCTTTTAAATTAGCGATATTCGATTAGTTATTTAATTAATATTATTTATTCTATTAGCTTAATAATTTATTTAGTTAGATTATTAATTAATTAATTACTTAATTATTTACTTAATTAGCTATTTAATTAGTTACTTAATTAACTATTTAACTAAAGTATTTAATTAAATAAAAAAAGAAATTATAATAGATAACTATAAAGAATATTATAAAGAATATTATAAATATAATTAGTAGTAATAATAATATAATAGATCTACTCTTTATAATCTTATATTAATATATTTAATTAATATAAGAGAAGTTATTATAATAAGTAAATATAAAGAATATTATAGAGAAACTAAGTGATAATAAAATTATTATTATTAAGAATACGACTTAACTCTCTAAGATTCTATATTATATACTCTTTACGATTTTATATTAAATTATTACTTAGTAAGTAAAGAATATTATTATAACTTAGTTTATTATTTCTATTATATTAATATAGTATATTATTATAATAATATTATAAGAGAAGAATTTACTA